AAATTATTTTGTCAGTCTAACTGCAGCGCCTTTAAGGAAAGCATTCATAGCTTTGGTACTTTCAGTGTATGCCATCAGCCATTGTGGAGGATATGATAACATCCCATTTCATCAAAGATTCTGTATGTGTGGATCAGGAGAGGTCAAAGATGTTTTCCATTATTTATGAAGTTGCCCTTTATATGAGCACCCCAGATGTCAATTTCTTGTTGGCATTTTTAGACCTTTGTGTGATAGACCCCCTTGGCTCAGCTTTGTATGCTGCTTCTGGGCAGGGATGTAATCACTATCTATCTACCTAGTAGCAAAATTTGCTTTGGCAGCAAAAAAAGATACATGCCAAGCATCAAAGGTCTCAAAGAAGGAGGGAAGCAATCTCACTTTATATTTATGTGTAAATATGTGTTGTCGGTTCCATATATGTTTTGCGTTTTAAAACCAATAAAGCTTGTTCACTGTATGTTTTGTGGTTTCTCAGCTTATAATGGTTAAACATTTTGACCATAAATATGTTCTGTGTTTAAAAATTGGTGAGCCAGATTTGGCACTGGGCTTGAACCCGGGAATTAACACAACTTGAAACATGAAAAAAGCACATATACAACGTTCTAAATAACAAAATGAAAGGCAAGCCAATACAATTCCTTGTTTTCTTTAAGCCACAGTTTGCAATCCTTTCAATGACAAGCAGTGAACTATGCTACTTAAGCACAGGAGGAAGTACACGGCATTAAATTCCCAATGTACTCTGGCCTAATTCCAGTGGAGAGCGAGGCACGCTTAAGGCCATCTAAATAAATGGCCTTAAGCATTGCTAATGCCGCAACGTATTTAGCTCACAGTTCTACCATTAGCTTTCTAGGGGGAACTCCCAATGCCATGGTATACTTGTAGAACACAGGTTTTATTTTTCCTCTGAAGGGGTTTTCAGGTTCTGGTTTTTAATTTTGACATCTGTATGTGACAGAATAAGCCTTAACATACTGCAATAAAATGTGAGAAAAGCAGTCTCTATTATAACAGCAACGGTAAATGTATAAGTTGTCTGGGGATTCTAATATGTTAACTGGGAGGACTTCTCAAGATGTGTTTAAAACAGAGGTGTAAAATTTTGAAAGGCTTACTTATTTTAGTTGATAAAATTGCTCATGGCTGAATGTACTTAATCTGGAATCAGCTGAATTGTAACATTTTCTGAGCTAGCACATTGGTCTTTCTTTACAAGTCCTGTCAATTTAAGGCAATTATGGCAGATTTTTATAAATGCATCCATCATGTGAGAAGAATAAAAAGAGAAAACATTTCTCTTTTCACCTAGAATTTCAGATTATCCAGTGAATGAAATTAAACAACAGTAAACTTGACACAAAATAAAGTACTTCTTCACTCAACATGCAATTAATGTATGGAGTCTGCTCCTTCAAGATAAGATGGGTTTAATAGTGTTTAAACAGATTTAATAGAGGAGAAATCTGTTGCTGACTATTAATCATAATGGTTGTGAGTAGATCAATAGACAAGTCTCAACCTGCAATCATTGCTGATAACAGCAAATGTAGGATAGATTGCCTAGTTCTGGCAACATTAACTTAATAAAGGAGTTTTGATCATAGATAACAAATGAATAAGTTCATTGACAAAATGCATATTGTTGTTCAGTGTTGTTTTTTTAATTGTAAATATCAGGACACTGCTCAATCATTTACTTCTCTTTACCTATTATTTCCTCTTTCCTTGAGGTGTAAGTGCCTGGTTTGATCAATTCAGTACTTGGGGGGGGGGGGCTATAACATGGTAAGGTTTAAAATTAAAATAACAAAAATCTGAATGAATCAGCTGTGCCTTCCTTTTTCATGAGCTTGTACTTGGTCTACCTTCCCTTCCGTATTGTGGTTATTTCTGCAAATCAGATGGACAAAATAGATGAAACAAATATATTACTACTGATGTTCTGTTTCCACAGGTACTGCAATGGCTGCAGGGGTCCTGCTACAAAATGAATTACCATATTGTTCTCTGGTAACAAGCAGTGCATATCTTGCAACCATGAGTTCAGGTAATTGCTTTTTAATGCTTCTTTTATTATATGACAGTTTGAAAATTATACCAGTCAGGGTTTAGAAAACTAAAAGAAATCAAAGCTGCTATTACAACATCTTGATGATTTGAAGAAACTGTATACAGTAATTTTCAAGCACTAGCATGTATCTTGACCACATTGATTTGCAAAGCAGAAGTCTGAACAGTTTTTAATTTTTTAATTCTGTAAGATTTTAGAATTATTTTGTTAGCATAATCAATTTTAATTTTTGCCTGTTTTTGCTATACTACAGCAATCTGAAATAAACCATTGCTACTTTTGTACTGATAGTGCAGGGGTCAGGGGACTTTTTTACCTTTTACCCTCCCCCCCAAAAAAATTATATACATTGACATTCCCCCACCCCTTTGGCTCTTGCCGTCCGCGGCTGACTCCTGCCCCGTCTCTGCACTTGCCTGGGACCTGTGGCCACCGTCCGGGTAGCCAATCTGGAGCTGCCACACCACTGGAAAAGTGCATCCTTGGCGAGGGGAGGTGGGCGCCGCAGGTCCAGCAGGTCCACTGGCCATGAGCTCAGGTGAGGCGGGATGGGAAGGGGGCCTCCTCGCCAGCGCACTGGGCAGGTGGGTGCGGGCAGGAAGGAGAGCCCCGGCCAGGACTCTGCCGGGCAAAGAGTTCAGCTGGCCTGTATGCCGCCCTCCCCCCCCCAACTTTGAAGGTGAGGAGCACAGGCGGGTGCCTTGTGCAGTTTCTCACCAGGGCTCTCTGTCCCCACGATGGAATGCCCGCCTACACACAGCATCGTCAGAAATAAAATGCCTGGGGTTAATATGCCTGTTGCAACCATCCTCATTACCCGCAGGATTTTCATTTTTACCTCATTTGGGATAATTTACCCCTGTTTCCTGACCACTGTGATAGTGCAGTGAAGCTGTGGAAGTGAGTATTGTAGTGATTTGTTTTTACAGCATTTTTCCAAGTGTTCACAGTTGTTGTGAGCCATGCTGTGAGGTTATAAATTAACGTGGATATATTAATCCCTTAGTAGGCTTTTACATTTACCGGATGACAATGGACACAGTTTGGCAGTTAGCAGCAGTGCAAATTACTTTGTTCAAAGCATTTGGAACCTTAAATGAAAACATGGTTCCAACAGTGTAAGAGCAACTGCATAAATCACAGCAGCAAAATTTCACTGTATTAGTTAGGGAAATATTAAAAACAAAAGGAAATGAAATAGAGTAGAAGGTTTTTTTTGGGGAAATATTAAAAACAAAAGGAAATGAAAATAGAGTAGAAGGTTTTTTTTTGCATGCCAAAGAGTGCCATTAGGGTTCCATATATCACAACTGTATGCCAGTGTAAACATGTTCAGTTTCTTTTATCTGCTGCTTGATTTTCTCTGGCCACTCAGGCCATTGATCTTTGAAATTTTATAGTACTGGAAATTCAATACATGATAATCATATTCATTGGAAAATGAACATGTAGCATTATTTTCCCAGAAACAGAATTGTTCTCCCCTATAGACAGAGGTGGGGCAGGGGCACCAAATACCTTCTTAGAAAGCCTGGGAAAGATAGACTGGGAGTTAGGAAAAGCCCAGGAAGCAGCAACAGACAAGAGGACATTTAAAGCATGGGAAGTAATAAAGGCAACTGGGGTGGGGGGGAGGGCAGAGGAAGGTGGAGAAGCAGAGAGTAGAGGAGGAAGATAGCTATATGATTAAGACAGAAGAAGCAGAGGCAAAAGTAGTGGAAGAGTGGATCTGGATGATGAAGAGAGACCCCTGGACAGGCGAGTGAGTCCATCTTAATATGTCTAAAGAACAAGCTAAGAGGAAATTGCCAAGAAAGCCTTCATATTGGGTGAGAGTGGAAGGAGCAGCTGAAGGAAGCATGTTAAAAGACATAAAGATGGAGGGCTCAAAGGGATGAGGAGGAGGCTAAGAGGAGAGAGAGAGAGAGAGAGAGAGAGACTAACCAGAGGCCGGGGAGAGAGAGAGAGAGAGAGAGAGAGAGAGACTACCCAGGGGCCAACAGGCGAGGATGAAGTGGAGACCTTGGAACACCCCGGTTTCAGTGGGGTTTGCTACTTATAACCTACCCATGGAAAGGAGGTGTGGGGAGCTGGAGGGAGACATTCCCACTATTAATAGAGCCACAGTAGTCTAAAGATGTTGCCCTGAACCTGGACCCCATGGAGAGAGAGAGAGAGAGAGAGACTACCCAGGGGCCAACAGGCGAGGATGAAGTGGAGACCTTGGAACACCCCGGTTTCAGTGGGGTTTGCTACTTATAACCTACCCATGGAAAGGAGGTGTGGGGAGCTGGAGGGAGACATTCCCACTATTAATAGAGCCACAGTAGTCTAAAGATGTTGCCCTGAACCTGGACCCCATGATGACTTTGGAGAGGTTATGGGACAAAATGTTGCCATTACCAACTGAGTCACAGACGATGCCAAGTTCTACTATTAATACTGAACGCAAGACTGATTCGTATTTGTATCTGTTCCTTTAATAAAACCTGTTGTGTTAAAAAAACAAGATGTTTCTCATCTTTCTTCTGAGGTTCAAAACGACGAGGAGGGAGCAGTCAATATGTATCACAATAGGATTTTGTTCTTTTTCTTGATCCTTTATTTGAGGTTTCCTAAAATATTTTTTTCTGTGAATACTCTAAAGGATCTACCTTTTTGCCTGAAATATTAATGCCAGTGATTCATATTCTATAAATCTTGACTTTTTGTAGTAAATGACATGATCTATTTGGAATTATCTGCTTCAAGTGATTCTGACCCTATGTGGAACAGTTTGTCCCACACAATCAATGTATATGGAATTTAGTTGGGGGGGTAGCTTCCACCAGTGAGTTCATTGTTGGTTTCTATGGAGACAGAGCAGCCTATCCCGAACAGCCATTAGATCATACAGAAAGATGCATGTCTCTTTGTAAGTTCAGTACTGAGCAAGTCAGAAGTCTCATTCGCTTTGACTTTCTACAGCGTATCTAAACTGCTGCAAATAGTGAGTGATCATGCAAGGTTCACCCCGGAGGCGCTTGGCAGTGAATATTTTTAGCAACTTTTTTCAGGGTCGGAGACATTCTTCTTCCGATCCTCTTCTCCGCATACTTCAGAGGCGACGGAGCTCAGTTGTAGAGGTCCTCTCAACTTCCACACACAGGGTTATGGTGGCCATTTCCTCTGTAAGCCCTGAGGATCTAAATACTGCTTTCTATGAGAGAAAAAGTAATGTATTTCTTTATATGAATCATAGTTATTCTTAATGGTTGCGTATTAATGTCTCTGTGGTTTTATTTTTACAACTAAATAGAGATGATAATGTGGAACTTATAACTTTATATAATAAAGGATTCGTTTAATATTTTGTAGCATTTTTTATTGATTGTGTTTATAACTGTTCATAATACGAAATCAAAAGCATTCAGTACTTATAGATAAGTACTATAGTATTTACTTTATTAGGAAGGTAACAAGAACAGGAAAGGAACATGGCAACAATTTCTTGTTTTTGTTTTCATGAGCTCTTTTTAAAATATTGCTATTCACATTGCATCCATTTATTTTCTGAGTATGAGTCCCAAATGCACGGGAGCTACAGTTTGTGGAAAGACTTTGCTTTACTTTACATTGTGTATTGCAGGAAGGTCTAGGCGCCCAACTGCAAAGTATACAAAAGTTGGAGAACGCCTTCGCCATGTCATTCCTGGTCCCATGCAATGTTCCATGGCATGTGGAGGCCGTGCTTGCAAATATGAAAATCCAGCTCGGTGGAGTGACCAAGAACAGGCAATTAAAGGGCTTTACTCTTCCTGGTAATATATGATATTTGCTTCTATTAGATTTCTAAAAACACTGGTTGCTTTTAAATGACAAAGGCTGAACTCCTATGCACTGTGGAGTAATTGACATTGCCCTTACTTTTTGATAAATAAGGTTAAAGTCAGTCAAATGGCACATTCCTATAGATTTAGGTATGACATATGAGCTAGCTTAGATGTAATGCCAGTAATACTGAAGAGTATCCACGAACCATGTACATGTTGCATTTAAAGCTTTTGAATCCTCCAGGACAAAACATTAAAGAAGTTATTTCAGAGCTAGTACTGTTTATTTCGAAAGGATTTAAGTTAGAACTAACCTATCCCATTGATTCCAGTGGAACCTAACTTCAACTAGCTAGCTAGATTCATCCCACTGGCTGTAGTTCAATACCCAGGTTTGATTTTAACTTTATTGAACTTAAATGTGACTAAATGTGAGCTATAGTCATATTTTATACCCTGAACTTTAAATATAACTAAATGTGAGCTATATTCATATTTTAAGTGGACTGAAATGGCAAGGTAGAATAATAGGAGTAGCATGTAATGAAAACATTATCAAGGTTTTATTGAAATTTACTTTGGAAAGAGGCATTTTATGAAGCAGTTACAAGAATGCTTTAGAGAATGGGTAATTATCTTGAAGGGGAAGAATATAGCAAGATACATGTATTTTATGTTATCTACATTTTTATTATCACAAGCTCTTAGCACACTAATAGCATTTTGTTATGTAAAGCTTTTCAGTCACATAGGGATAAAAGATATTGAATGGTTTGAAAGCACGTAGTTATTTAAAGCAGTATGGTTCATTAGCTAGAAAATTACCCCAGAAAGCCAACTTCAGTCCCTAACTTTTCACTTCTTCTCCTACCCTCTCAGGATTACAGATAACATATTAGCCATGTCTCGACCCTCAACAGAAGTCATTGAAAAGTATAATATTATTGAGCAGTTTCAAAGGTAAAATGAATATATTGATAATAATTTACTGTAGCTCTTATGTTAGTGAAGTTAATCTGTTATTTCTTTTCTTTGTTGGTCTACATCACTTGTACAACTTATTCTGAACTAAGAATAAGAACATTGGAGGCAGCGAGGGTGAAATCATGCATAGTTCAATAATGCCTCATCTTTTTCTTTGCCTAAGATGTGGCATAAAAACAGTAATTAACCTTCAGCGGCCTGGGGAACATGCTAGCTGTGGGAATCCACTGGAACAAGAGAGTGGTTTCACCTACCTTCCTGAGGCTTTCATGGAGGCGGGAAGTAAGTTTGCTCCTACTGTTGTTCCTTGTTAATTATAAAGTGCTGTGCTGCAGGCTGTTTCTGCCACCTACTTCTTGCATAAAAAAGAGGTAGTTGAAGAATGTTTGCTGGAGAAACAACTTGGAACTAATGAGAGTTTTAAAAATGCACAAGTGGAACACGAAAACATGGCACTAAATGTCAAAGATTCATAGAACTAGCAGGTGGAAGTGGGTAACAGTGATTAATAATTTCTGTAACTCTGAAACTGTGATAGCAATATTCATGTGAAATGTTCATCTGTGTCCACTGCCTTGACAAGATAATAGATTTTCATCTAGATCTATAGAATTGCCATGTTTAATTATTTTTATTAGACTGGTGCATGGTTAATAAAAAAGCCATTGAAGTAGAGAAGATTTTATTCTCTAAGCAGAATTTTTCACTGTAAGAATCTCTCTCTCTCTCTCTTTCACACACACACACACACACACACACACACACACACACACACACACACACACACACACACACACACACACACACACACACTTTTTCAGCTATGCATTTTCAGCAATAGGGTATAATTCATGAAAGCTTGTGCCAAAGAAAACTTGTTTGAGTTTTCAATGTGGCAGAAGACTCCTTGCTTTTTTGTGTGTGCAAGAGACAACCATGGCTAACCCTCTTACTCACTCTGTTTCATGTTCCACATTCTGTAAAAAAAATCATGCTTAATTCATGTGTGGCACTTGTAATGTTTACAGAAAAGATTCTGGAATGCAAGACAAGAAATTATTGCAAGTAAATGTGATCAGGTATTCTAAAATACTTCAACAATATTTTGTTGTAATAAAATACATTGCTTTGTGTTTGGTTTTCTGATGATAATAACATTAATGTTCTAAAATGTTTTTTCTAGTTTATTTTTATAACTTTGGATGGAAGGATTATGGTGTGGCTTCTCTCACTACTATCCTCGATATGGTAAAAGTCATGACTTTTGCCTTACAGGAAGGGAGAGTAGCTATTCATTGTCACGCAGGACTTGGCAGAACAGGTAAAAAAATTTGAACTACAAGGGTGTACTTTTAAAAAATGCAAAATGCTGACACCACATTAATTTTATTAATGTATGAATTATTCTAATGAACTCTGTACGTATATGTAAATCATATTCTAATCAAGCACAAACACTATTTTAAAAAAATAAACTTGCAGTTTTTGTAATGAGGTTCTCAGAAGATGGCCCATGAAACTCACAAACTGTTCTTTGAGTACTAGGAACAAGTTGAGAACTTGGCACAAGAGTTTTGTGAAAGTTTCACACCAAAGGAGCTGAAGTTCTTTTCTTTTTTCTTTTTAAGCTTTCAAATAGTAAGTGTTTATGATTGAAAGAAAACCAGAACTAAAGTAGAGGCTTGTTTATTTCCCAAACCATCAGTTATAGCATATGATATGTTCCCAAAGTATCACTTAAGGCATCTGTCTTTCTTGTCAAAAATGATAGACACAAAGCAAGTCTACTGTACATAGACATCAGTATCTTCCAGTGTGGCAAATTGTTTGCCTTCATAATTACAGTTTAGTAGCATTAATAAAAATCACCATGTGCCTGAACTAATCTTATTTTCTCAGCTATTAAAGATCTATTTGTTTGAAAGTGATCTCCCAATTTTTTATCACTTTTTGTTGATGATGAATTTTTAGAATCCTTTTCACCTTGCTTGTTCAACGTAATTGTTTCAGTGTTGTTGTATTTTAAACAATCTGTATTGTGGAAGTTATTACAACATAAATACATAGATCTCGATAGAATTAATGAATATGGTACAGCATATGCGGAGAAATGAATTGAAATGAGTCCTTTATAATGCATGGTGGAAATATATGCTATAACTTTGAAAAAGAGACATGAAAGCTTGCTAAGATGTGAAGGCCATGAATTTGCACCTGCATTCCCTTGGGTACTTTTATTGTCATATTTTAGTTTTTACCTAACAATCTCATTGTTTTGTGTTTTTGTTCTTTATATTTCAGGTGTTTTAATAGCTTGTTATTTGGTTTTTGCAACACGAATGACTGCAGATCAAGCAATCCTTTTTGTCAGAGCAAAAAGACCTAATTCTATTCAAACTAGAGGGCAGTTGTTATGTGTAAGGGAGTTCTCTCAGTTCTTAATTCCATTAAGGAATGTTTTTGCATCTTGTGAGCCCAAAGCACACACAGTGACTCTTTCTCAATACTTGATTCGGCAGCGGCACTTACTCCATGGTTATGAAAGCAGACATCTCAAGCATGTGCCAAAGCTTATTCATCTAGTTTGCAAACTGCTCTTAGATTTGGCTGAAAACCGGCAGGTGATAGAGCAGGAAGTAGTAGATATACCAGACCTCTCAACTGAAATTGAGGAGACTGTTTCTCAGTTGGCTTCTGCACGGCTTGATAAAGAGTTAACAAGGCAAGACAGCAGTAGTTCGGAGCCATTTTCTGTCTTGAGGTCAAACCCTCTTCATGCCAGTGAACATGAATGTGACCCTCTTTGGCATAGGGAAAATGTTGATTATCTTCAGCCACTCAGTCGTTCAAAAAGACGCCTAAGCTATAGCGACTCAGATCTAAGAAGAGCTGTATTTGTCTCTGAGCAAGGAGAGACACCATGGTCGATGGCTGTGCAAGTGCCACTCTGCCCCAAAGCAAACATACCAAGTAATGTGGACAATTCTCATCTTCACACACTACCTGAGTTAAACCAAGAAGTGTTAATTCGTAGCACTTTTAATTTCATAGGTCGGGATAAACTTAAGTCGGATATAAAAGACTCAACTGGGTATAAAAGCAGATTTCCCAAAGAAGTAAAGCGTAGTCAAACCTTTTCTTCAGGCCTTGCATATGATCGGAAGGAAGAAAAAGAAGAGGAGGAAGACGAGGAGGAACTAAAAGCACTGAATTATAATTGCAGTGGAAAAAGTAGTCTTTTTGGTAAAAGAATGTGGTCTTCTGATGACTCAGACTCCTCTAGAGCTGAGCATGATTTTCATGATATTAGAGACATCTCAGAAATCCCCCATATTGTGGTGCAGTCAGAATTAACTCTGGAGGCACGGCGAATCTTGGCAGCGAAAGCCCTTGCAGATCTAAATGAATTTCTGGAAGCTGAAGAAGTGAAGCAGAAAGTGGAAATATGGCAGGTATTGTCATTTTTCTTATATGACTTGTCTATGTGCATCATCTAGAACAGAGCCTTCAGGAAGTAAAAAAAATGCTGTAATGTGCTTGCTTCACTGTACCTCACATATTCCGTGATAAGTAGGCTACTATTGTAATAGCAAAGAAACAATTCCCTCTGCTGAGTTTGAGACAATTAGTGCCATTATAAATTAGATGGACACATAGGGAGAAGAATGTACTCAATAAGAAAAAATTAATCACTTGCTTCACAGACTTCCATGATGAGAAGCTGATGCCTCTACTCACGGTGTGTGTGTTAAATAGTTGAGTGGCGTGCAAAAGTTCTGCTATTATGTTTCAACTATTTCATCCCTAGTTGGGCTCAGAAAATGGAAATACAGTATGCCTTACTGAAGAGGGATTTTCTTAGTGGAATCCGTAGATGAAGAAAGGGTTCCATGCTCATTTATTCCTGTCAACAAATGTTTCCTTCCCATTATTCCGCTGCTCGTAACATACACAGTCTTGATAATGAATGATCATAATCAAGTGGACAGAAAAGTATTCCCCCTCCATGTCTGTATGTTGGTAAGAATGTTTGAAGAGGCTTCTCTGTCATTTAAAACTCAGAACTAGTTCTAAATCTAAGGAAATTTGTGTTTGCAAAACAGGGTTCCCTCCTGAGACATCTCCAGTGTGCGGATTGGAGGGCTGGAGACATCACAGGTGGGGGCTGGCAGACATGGCTACAGTTTTTTCCTTCACAGCATTATGTTCTTCTAAAGGGCAAAACTTTTAAGAGGAATCTGTTTAATAAATATCAGGGTGTTCTGCCTTACCATTACCAAAGCAAAAAATCACTCATGTAGAACTGACTTAGATTTTTTTTCTTTTGTTAGAAAGAACTGAATTCTCAGAATGGAGCCTGGGATAAGATATGTACTGAGAGAGATCCATTTATCCTTAGTAGTTTGATGTGGTCCTGGATAGAGCAACTTAAAGAGCCTCTCTTAAGCAAAACTGATATTGATATATTAGCAAAAAATAACACAAATTCCCAAGAAGCTCTTAAATTATTAGAAAAGGTACGTATTGAACTATCACCTTGTCCCTGTTGCTTCCATATACAGTGGTGCCCCGCTTGACGACGATAATCTGTTCCAAGAAAGTCGCTGTTAAGCAAAATCATCGTTAAGTGGAAAAAAAAACCATTGAATGCATTGAAAACCGGTTAATGCGTTCCAATGGGGAAATATCTCATCGTCCAGCGAAAATTGCCCATAGAGAACCGCCGATCAGCTGTTTCAAATCACTATCTTCCAAAGCTTCCGTCCGGAAAAAAGCCATTTTGCGAAGGGAGGGAAGCCATTTTGCGAAGGGAAGCCATTTTGCGGAGCTGGAAAAAACATCGTTTTGCGAACAAACAGTTCGCAAAGCAGGCACCTAATCGATGTAATGCGAAAAAACCCCATAGGAACCATTGTTTTGCGATCGCTATAGCGATTGCAAAAAAACTCATCGTCAAGTGATTTTCCTGTATATCTAAAGCAGTATAAGTCTTCATTTTGTAAGAGGGATGGATTATTCTTCTGGTGTATTTTTTTTATTCACAGACAAATCTGTTTGCTTTTGTTACCTTTTGTTTCTTGGTACTATATAGTGATTTGTGTGGGAGAGCACAATGATGCACACTGTATTTCATAGGATATTATTTACGTTGATCTAAATTCTCACTTTTACACACCTAGGGGCTATTCAGTCATTGATGAATGCTTGTGGGGCCACATTGAAAAGAATTCCCCCCAATTGCTATTTCCATTCCTTCCATTCCTGATATATACAATCTGAAAATATGGCATGTATATTTTCAGATTGTAGGTGATTGATTGGGTTATCTAAACTTATTTGGAATATTTAAATGTATGAACAACTTAACTGTTGCCAGTTTCTTGTAAGATGTTGTGATTTTTTGAAGTGAAATCTTTCTTTTTACTAAGTACTGATACATTGTTTAACTGATACATTGAGAAGCATACATATGCTTTCTACAGATAGAGAAAATCTACAGCACAACACTATGTACCTAAATTCATTGAGCTGGAATCAGGCTTGAAATCAGTCTTATCCTTCTGTAAGAAAAAGGGATCTTTCCATTTGCAGAAGGAACTGAAATCCTGGGGGAAATGGGTGGGGAGGTCACTTTCTTCAGTGTCCTCAGAGCAATCTCTGGTGGTGATCTTATGGGATTTCCCAGAATAGTGGGGGAAATAGTACTGGAACCTACATTCAGTAGGAATTTCAGGAAATCCTATTGAATGTTTTGCCTTTTAGCAATACAGGACTTCTACTGATTGCAAATTGAGATCCAGCCCACTGATTTGAGAGAATTTGGTTTTGGATTGGGGCATATATGCCTTTAATACAGTGGACCCTTGACTTAAGGAATTAATCTGTATTGGAACGGTGGCTGCAGGTCAAAAAGTCTGTAGGTCAAGTCTCCATTGACCTACAGTGCATTGAAAACTGATTAATCCTGTAACAGGCCGTTTTTGTTCCATTTTGGTTTTTTTCTGGTCTGCAAGTCAAACTTAAATTTCGTGGCCAGAGAAGTCTGTAACTCAAAAAGTCTGTAAGTCAAGCCAAATGTAAGTCAAGGGTCCACTGTACAACTTTCTTAAAACCATTCCCTGCATAATACTGTTTTGTCCTTCACCAGGGAAAATATCATACTATATTATGCATTTTAAACTGTGTGGTGAATCTGCGAGCCATACCAACAGATATAGAAGAGCTGGTTCTTAATCGTGCTGTTGAAGCATTCACAAAGGCAAGTAGCATGTGGTATTGTTCTTTGTTCTGAGTGAATCAGCTTATGAAGATTAGGCCAGCAGCCTCTTCATACTTGTCCTGATAATAATTCAAAATTGATATTTCTTGCACATGAGCCATTAAATATTTGGGTTCCCATCTGTGGAACAACTGTTGCTTCAGTCAGTACCCATATACAGGTTAACCACTAGTATTTATACAACACCTCATGAAATTGTGGAACAAGATAATTTCTCTTAATTTCTTGAGGTTTTTTTAAAATAATTCATTATTTTAGTGGTGTTTGCATCAATATGAACAAGTACTTCACTAATGAATTTACTTTAAACAACAATTCAGTAAGCAAAGGAAATGATGTACTTTTAGAAATAATTTTCCAAGCTCTGGGGCAGCCTATGTTTGGGAAGGCATGCCTCTGCCATCAAGCAAAGGTATGTCAAGGAGGTCATTCCATTGGAAATATTTGTTTGATTCTTTCTGAACATGTACTCCAGTTATAGTTTATTGTTTGTCAGCTTACCAAAGATGGCACAAGACAGCATTTTTAATTCTCCCTTTTGCTTACATATACAACATGTAGTGTAAGTTAACTCGTATAAAATAGCTGTTCCAATGTGTCTGTCCTTTTTATCTGGCTGTGAGAAGAAAAAAGCAAATTATTTTCCTTATAACATATTGTCATACACCATAGAATAGTTGAAATAACTGAAGAGAAGGAAATATGACTTCTAGGTCACAACAGCTTTCAACAGGTGATTCAGAAAAGCAGTGTTGCTCTCTTTTTTAAGCTTTCTGTAATAGCCATTGCACTACAAAGTGATAAACTATACAAATTATATGAATAATGGGTAAAATTAGCCCGTCCGCAGCTTTCATAATGTCAGATCCATGCATTTGACTATGGAATTCTGCATTTTGTATTGCACAATATTTTATTTTGATAATACATATATCTGGGATATATATATATAACTTTCAGATTCCTTTTAACAGGTAAGCTGTGATGCTAAAGATGGACAGTATGTTTACAGCACTCTAAAGAATGTTTTCAAAGGGATACTGGAACACCAAAGACAATCATTGAAAGAAGGAAAGGAAAAGCTCTTATGATATTTACACTGCGAATCTGTACTTTTCTGCAGCCCTTTAAAGCTATTATTTGTTTATTAGTTACTTTGTATCCCTTGGTTTGTGTTAACTACCACTTCTGTTTATGTTTTTAAAATAACTGCAGGTTGACCTGCTGGCAGAATAGTGCTGGATCCAACCTGTTTTCCATATTTATTGCCATAAATACAGTGCCATGTTAATGCAATGGTTCATACAGTTGAATGTCTTTATTTTAACACTCTTACTATATGTTATGATGATAACATCTATAGTACATCTTTTGTGACAAATAAACATTGGTGTTTGTCTCTTTCTTGGGAATAATAAAAGGACTTGTTGCACTGTCCAAAGTTGTAAGGGAAGCACAACTTATAACACAGACATGGGGAGTCACCTTGTTGGGTAATTCAGTTTTGATATTAAAAATGTAAAATTAAAATTTATTGCAAAAAATCTGATGTAAGATTTGTATCTGAGATAAAAATAAAAAACATTTAATGTTTTAAAGCATTGTTTCTCATCCTGTTTTAACCCATGCCCCATTTTAATAAACATAAAAACATCATTTCACTCTCAAATCAGCCTCCTCCAGAAGCTTTGCTTGAACTTTGAAATACTGTGATTGAAAGCAAATCAAACTGTAAATTCAAAAAATAGATGTGCTGCTAGGCATGATAAGATGATGCAATAAGTTGTACCTAGACAATAGGCATAATAATCTCCACAGTTTTTCAAACAAATATGTTTCATATTCAGTATGTTTTTTCAAGCTATACATATCTCCCCTGGAATGCCAGTATGCCTTTGGCCTGAGCCAGGCCCACCTACAAAACTCTTGACCAAAAGGAGCTATTCCAGTGACCTGGCTGTTCTTTAATTGGAACAGCTTAGACAGGGTAGGAATATTTCAAATGTTAGAACAATTTAGTATGCTCTATTCCCAATGTTGTGTATTGGACAGAATGATGGGCTAGGACTCTGGAGAACAGGGTTTGAATCCCTGATTGACTATGGAAGCTCACAGTGGAGTGGAACCGATAAAACCACTCCTTAAAATAATTTCTCACTTGCTGTCCTCTGAAGATGCCGGCCACAGAGACTGGCGAAACGTCAGGAAGAACAACCTTCAGAACACGGCCAAAGAGCCCGAAAAACCCAGAACAACCAATTTCTCACTTTCTTTAAAAGCCCTATTAAGGTCTCTATAAGTTGATTCCAACTTGATGACGCAAAACACACACACATGGATAAGTTGGTCTTACAACACTATAATAATAGATTGCTGTTTTTCTACATTGTATTTCAGCCAAACCTAGCTTGAGCGTGTCTCAGATAATTGTCCCAGGTAATTGAATTCATTTTCAAAACTGCCATTAATGTTGCTGTTGAAACGAATGTGTACAGAAAGTATGGCAAGAAATGTATTGAAGATAAGAGTTGGGTCTGAGATCCAGTTCAATGCTGGCTGATCCAAAAGCCTTGCCAATATAATTCTGCAGAACCTATCACAGGCAGAGAGAAAGGCTTCTGGCTAGTGCAGTGAGTGATGCTGGCATCTGGTGGTGACTCATGCAGGGAGGAGGAACCTATGCTCAGGCAGCCAACCAGAGTTATCAACTATAGCCTCATGGTGTTAGGAGCCGTTTGTACAAGGAGGCACAATATGGCTTGTTTGCGCATGGAAAATGTGTGAAATGCACAAACAGGAGTTGCACAAGCCCTGGATACACATATTGGCTCGCATGATTATCAAAAGTGGTAGAGATCTGCTGTCTTTATTATAATATTTTTAAAGAAAACAATTGTGATAGATGTTTTGCCTGTCCCTAACAGAAACATTTCCAACAAGCAGGACCGAGACTGGGACCTTTGCCAGTGACTTGGTATGAAGATATCCCAGGAACGTTTTGACTCATACCTTTGATGATTTGGTCAACAGGAGGACTTTCAAAACTATAAAGGAATTTGGTAAACATTTTAACAATATAAGGAAAGAGAATGCCCCCCCACACACACACAACTCACTGGGAGGTGAGCCAGCCATTCTGTACACAAGATTGTTGTGAGAATAAAATGAAGAAGAGAGGCTTGATGTCCAACCTGGAGAAGTTGCTGGAACTAGAGACCTCTTGCAAGCCTCTGTCTTGGTCTCACTTGTGGGCCTTGCCTAAAACTATCCTGTAATGGGCTGGGGATTGAGCAGCTATATGGATAGAACTGGGAGCAGCAACAGTATATAATCCTCTGGAGAAGCCTCTTGGCAACCAAAACCATTTCACATCACTGTCATGTAAGTCAGAACAAAGGAGAGGCTGGGTTTAGTGGCTACAGGAGCTACAAAACCTGAAGAGAGCAGGATATACCTGTAAACAGCTCTGTTACGTTAGTTTCTTGTAGAATTACTTTAAAAAAGGAATCTATTAAATGTGCATAAATACTTAGTTTTATTTATTTATTAGATTTCTATCCCACTCTTTTAGAAAAAGTCTACTCCAGGCGGATTCCGTTAAACATTGTAAATTAAAATGGTTAAAAACAATTCAAAACAATAGTGATTAGTAATGCTTAATGCTTAGTAACGCTCAAGATGGGAAAACGGAAAATTAAAATTAAAGTCAAGTATTGACAGGAGGGAAGGCCTTCCTAAAGAGTCAAGTTTTTAATTGGCTGTTAAAAAACACCCAGCGAGGGAGCCAGGCGAATCACTGATGGGAGGTTATTCCAGAGCCGAGCGGCCATTGCCTGGAAGGCCTGGTTTCTTGTTCTTTCTTTCCAGGCCTCTCTCGGCATTAGGCCCCTCAACCATCGCTCCCGGCTATGGCAAGTGATTCGGGTAGATCTAGTTGGGAGAAGGCGATCTGCCAGGTATCGAGGTCCTAAACCGTTTAGGGGTTTATACGTCATCATCAACACTTTGAAGTCAATGTTAAAGCAAATGGGCAGCCAATGCAAGGCAGCCAGTGGGCGAGATATGCTGGTATTTTCTAAGGAGTCTGTCTGCTGCATTCTTCACCATTTGAAGCTTCCTCATCAGTCTCAAAGGCAGCCCCACGTAGAGCGCATTACAGTGGTCTAATCTCGAGATTACAAGTGCATGGACGAGAGTAGTGAGAGCCCTGCCATCAAGATAGGATTGCAGCTGGGTAATCCACCACAGATGGAAATAGGCGGAGCGGATGCCACCTGGATTTCCATGGTAAGCGCCGGGTCCAGATGTATCCCCAAGCTGTGCACCACACTCTGCGGTGAGAGTCACCCCTCCCCAAAAGAGAGGGAGTTTCCCAAACCACCAATGGAGGGGCTGCCCACCCTCAAGACCTCCATCTTGTCCGGGTTCAACCTCAACCCATTCAGCTGCATCCATTACAGCACAGCCTCCAGACAGCGCTGAAGGAACAGAATGGCATCCACTGAGGTAGGTGAAAAGGAGATGTAAAGCTGTGTGTCATCAGCGTGCTGATGGCACGAAGCCCCACACCCCCTGATGACCCCACCCAGCAGCCTCATATAGATGTTAAACAGCATTGGGGAGATGATCGACCCCTGCAGAACCCCACAATTGAGACTCCACGGGGCCAAAACATTCTCCCCAAGCTGTACTCTCTGGGGATGGTCCTCCAAGAAGGATCAGAACCAGGCGAGTGCCAGGCCACCTATTCCCAGCTCGGAGAGCCTCTCCAGGAGGATACCATGGTCGACTATATTGAGGATGACAACAATGACATTTTGCCCCGGTCAGCCTCCCTCAACAGGTCATCCATCAGTGCGACCAGTGCCGTTTCTGTGCCATGGTGTGGCCTGAAGCCCGACTGGAACAGATCCAGCACATTGGTTTCATCCAATGCGGTGGATACTTAAAAGGAGAAAATTATTTCCAAAGCAAGGACCATATTTGGGTTCTAGATAATACATGTGTCAAAGTCAACATCATCTAGAAAAGGTATTCTGATGTGTGTGAGATAAGTATGGTAGTACTATCTTTTTTAATTAGCCATTGTATTAAAAGGAGCAGTATCTCCAGGTATTCCCATATTATATGAAAGTGGTTATGTTCCTATGAGGAAAGACAATCCAATTTTGGAAGATCCTTCCCAAGAAAGTATTCCAAGCCATGATGTCTCAGAAGGGCACCCAAACCTTAGGAAAAGTACTTCCACGTGAAGCTACTATTTAATGCGGCCTAATAGGGGGGGCAGGACTCTGGCCAATTCATTTGGGACACCTTCCTGATTGATTTAAAAGTTACCTAGAATATTAGGCAGATGGCCATACTATTTATATGCACACATAAAAGCCTAGTTCCCCCTTTGGGTATGTTGTTCAGGAATCACATAAAATATACACTGTGGCTAAAATCCTATTGCTTGATGTGAAATGCAACTAGAGTAGACCCACTGAATCAGTGGAGATTTGATAAGTCAACTCCATAAGTTCCATTGGTGAAACAGGTTTACTCTATTTGTAACTTACTAATGTTGACCAACAAGATTTCAGCCACTGAAAGGACACACCATTAGCAATTCCTTTTTCTTTACACTCTGTTTATATTAGGTTTTGCTTGGAGCCTGTCAAATATACATCTCTGATAGCAGTTGACTGTGCAGTACTCATCTGCTCATTGTACTCTTTACTGTTACTCCCAATGAGAGGGAACAGATCCTTCCAAAATGAGAATACAGAGAGTTGGATCTAGACTTAAGTTAACTTGACTTAAGATTTAAATTAAGTGGACTTCAAAATAACCTACTGAATAGAGCAAGAGTAGAGCCATCTACCTGTAAGATGGCTAAGCCTGAATCCAACTCCTTGACCACACTGGTAACCTGCTAACATGTCAGAAAATACATGTTCATCATTGAATTCTGTCATTGAATTCCTTTGCCAGAACATGGAAGTAGCTGCTGTTGGTTCAGAATTTGCCACTTGATATTTCTATATGTTTGCAGTGAAACTTGGTTTCTGTTGCTATGGAGCTACTGTGACGCAACAACTCCGAGGGCCTTCAGTGCCATTCTAGAACTCAAACGTGAATGCAGCAAGACGAGGGAGACAGAGTGACTCTTCATTCTTTCGAATGCAACAACATCATGGAAGCTTTGGCACAAGTGCTTTCATGTCCCGTGTGTTTAGAGTTTTTCACACCCCCAGTGCTGGTCTTGTCCTGTTCTCATAATTTCTGCAGGAAATGTCTGGAAAAGATCCTTATTCGCCAGAACTGCAGTCATGTCAATGGGCAGTTCTCCTGCCCTATGTGCAGGAAAGTAAGTGCTTAGCAAAATGTTCTTTGCATTTGTATTTATTGTGCCTAAAGTTCTACTCAAAATTTACTTTGTGAATAAATTATTTTTTATTATTTTTTATTTGATGTATACCCCACCTATCTGGACCGATGGACCAGATAAACTCCACAAATTGATTTTTATACAATGAAACAAGCAATTAAGTAAAGCAATTTTATGTGGAAAGATTTAACTCTGAGAAACAGATCATACACGGAATAAATTCAGGTTTGCTGATATTCTTACTATAATAATTAGTTTTTAAAATGTTATGACTATTCAGACATGACCACTCAGAGGATTAAAAACACAGGCCCAATTGATATACAATCATTGTAAAGGTCTGTGTGATTATATTACTTTCACAGGACATATGCACTGATAAAAATTTTACAGTTTCAGTTTGCTAATTTGTAAAAGCAAAATCTATCTGTTGCATGTCCAGCATGAAAACATTCATACAATAATACCATTAAAAACATCAACACTGCCTTTGATAAAAAGCAGTTGGATCTATACATGTACAATCGTACCTGAGGCACACAATCATTTCAATGTGTATCCTTTCTGATTTAAAAGAAAACGGGTACAGATATAGTTGGTTTAGTTGCATCTAATGCAATTCTCACACAAGAGGAATCCTTTGTTGTACTCTCTTGATATGCCAGGGCACTGGGAAAGACTGCTGTGGGAGGAGAAAATTGGACAGAAGAGGGAAGCTTGAAGGGAGAAGCCTTTTTAGTTACAACCCAATATATTTTTTAAAAATATATGGATTTTGCTTTTAATATTTTTTTTATATTTTCAGACCATGGATAAGAGAATCAGCAGATATTGATCCCGTGGATAAAGGGGTCCTACTGTATATAGGCAGGGGGAGATCTGTCCCAAGATATAAAACTGATACCCTTGTTTTCTGCTGCATCCAAACACATGCTTCACAGAACCTAAGCCATTAATTTCCCCAGAACACCTCTAAATAAAATCCTCTATAATTGCTTTCTTTTTCCAATTAAAGGGAAGACCACTGTCAAATCAGGTTAGCCTAAATTCAGTACCAAACCCATTTCTTGCCTGGTTAACTCTCGTTCCACTCATTTTCCTTATATGAGCCGTGCTATCTGACATCTGACTTTACTTTAAAAATATCCAGAGACATTACAATGGAAGACAGCACACGGTTGGAACAATAAAAAATGGTGGGTGTCAAAACATACATACATCATGATTTTATTTGACTTTCAGATCATACACTTGAGAGGGAGAGGAATTATTGGGCTGCCGAGAAATATTCTGGTGGAGAACATTCTGGAAAAATTTAAGTACGAGCTTGGAAATTTACAGACCAAAGAACAAGACCAGTTGTCCCAAATATGTGAAGAACATGGGGAAAGTATGAATTTGGTAAAGCTCCATTCATTTTTCTGACTAGTTAGTAAAATAATAGCATTATTATGATTAATATACAGTACAGTACATGTCTGACATCTTAAGGCTCCTCCACAAACTCCAATTGTTATGGTTAATATATTTAAAATTCACATGATTATCTAAGCTGCTTAAAACATAACGCAAAAGGCACTGAGATGAAAAGAGCGTTCTACTTTCAGCAGTCCCCGTTTACCATTCTTCAAGGAGGTGCTCCTGTTGCGTCTGTCACATGTCAGCAGCTAGAACAGTTACATGTGTCTAGAACTAACTTGAGTCTCATGGCACACAGCTTGGATACTACCTATGTCACTCATGATGACTAACAGAAGTAGTCCTTGCTAAACCCATGTACAATGTTATGGCTCCTTACACAGATCTGATTACTTTAGAGGGAAAATATGCCTTACAGCATCCTAGCCTAACATCTCCACTCAGCCTTTTTTTAAAAAATAGCAAATCCTTTACCTCTCTTGCATCAATTCTCATTGTTTCATAATCTTTCACTGAAAAATATACATTATTTTTTTCGAGCTTGAGTGTTCTCATCTTAAGCCACAAAATATCTACTAGATTACTGAAAAATTATGAACAATTAATTTCCAGCAGTAAGGTACCTGTGCTAGTTGAAATGGGATATCATTGTGAGTGCCAGATTGGTATTTGTGCAAGTATAGTGCTGGTGGTGGGGAGAGAATGATAGTTAATTGCCTTAAAACTAGGTCGAATGAGGTGCAACCATTTGACCACTTTTGTGCAGCTCCCAGCAGAATTTGCTGCCTGGACCACTTGATTGACATGTTACTTTCTGGACCACACATCTGGGAATCTCTCTCTCTCTCTCTCTCTCTCTCTCTCTCTGTGTGTGTGTGTGTGTGTGTGTGTGTGTGTGTATGTGTACATATGCACACAAGTGCAAGAGGCAAATGATGGGGTGACATGAGAATGATGCAATCCTGCCAACTCTAGTCCTTTTGGGTCTGAAGTTGGAAATCATTGGTTGTGGCTTCAAATTTCCTCTTTCAATACATCTGGGGCTCTTCACGTAAAGAGGTCCCCCCTTCCTTTGATCATTCTTTGCTGACACAGCTCATCACTCTCAAGGCAATGACATCACCACTGAGGGACTAATATTCAAACTACTGCTGTCCCCACACTATGCGGTGACATATCTTGTATTCTTACTCAGGTGTGTCTAACAGATGACAAACCCATTTGTGCCATTTGCAAACTTTTTGGAGACCATGAGCCTCACACGGTAGCTAAACTATCCGAAGTTTATGCAGAGCGGAAAGAAAGATTTGTCAAAGACTTGGATTGGGTGTGCAAACAATCAGAATGTGCTGAACAAGCAAGAAAGGTACGGACAAAAATTTTGATTTATTTATCTAGAATGTATTAACAAAATTGTGTTTCAGTGTTCAGTAATTATTCTGTACACTATCCGAAACAAGACTACAAAATCAATAATCTCCATAGTATACCCTTGAGCACTGGTTAAGATCACTTATTATGCTACTTGTTTTTTCCCCAAAAAAACATCATACGTTTGATGCTTCTCAGTTGTTCTCCATCTTGAACAGCACACTGGCAAGTTAATTTCAGCCTAGCTACATCTTTTAACCCAAGCTCAAGCATTGTGCACTACAGAGAAGGGTCCTTATGGAGACTTTTGGGCTTTAGCAGATTGATATGTGCACAATCAAGTTCCATAAGAACTTTCAGTGCCTCACCGAAGCCAAATAAAAAAGACAAATATTACTTCACCGGAACCAAGGAAGGCAACCATTTTTATCCTTTACAGCAGAGATCAGCAACTTTGGCAGATCCAGGGAACAATTTTCTGTTCAGAGTTCTTTTTTGCACCTCTGGCATTTGAGGCCAAGCCCCTTGCTTCCCCCCTCCCCTGTTTATCTGTATGGTTTGTTTGCTGTCTCTTTTTCTATCTCTTTTGACCATGCAGGCAGTTTCTCCTGTGTGTGGAAATTGCAACCTTCCTTTTATTCTTCTGTTCGTAATTACTGATTGTAACTGTTAAGTAAAGATACTTTTATTTTCTATTTCTTTTTCTCCTTGAAAGTGATTTTAAGTGATTTTTAAGATATAAAGTGTTAGCTACTATGAAGGGCAGGAGTCACTCTGAGGTTTGTGCTATTCTCTTATCCTTTCTCTGTACAGTTATTGTTTGTACGTTAAACTCCGCTAACCAAAAGGGAACTACCAATTCTCCACAACAAAGTGTGCATACACGGAGACCACAATGGTGAAAAACAGGTGCTTGTCCATCATGTTTGTTCTCTGAGTGGCCATTTATGCAGTCACAACTCCCCCCTTTCTCCCATCTTCAGCGTTTGCAGTTGAGGAGCAGTCTGATGCCGTGTTGTCCGAATGTTTGAAATGAGGGATACTGTGTCTATGCACACTGTGTAGATAGGGGGGAGCGACGCTTACTGCCTAAACTCCCTCTATATAGAAGGTTCTGAACAATGGCTCTGTTACAGGGCCTACCCATATGTATGAATATACAGATGGCAACTTGAAGAGCAAATGTTACAGGCAAGCAACCTGATTCTTTTAAACAAGTAATGGCAGCTTGCACGACAGACCATCCCCATCCCGTACATGTCTTGCCTAGCTTTGATATTTGGGATTTTACCTGACCTCAGATGTCATTCCTCCTTGATGGGCTAGACTCAATGGGTCCCTTCCAGCTTTATAGTTCTAAGATGATGATAGCCACAATTAAAAATGGTTGATTACAGATATTAATTCCATCTCTTTCTGAGGTAACTTGTGAAATTTCCATTAAGGAACAGCATGCAGCTCTTTCAATAGCAGAACAGCATGAGCCCTTTAGAGGTGTCAGAAAAGTCTCTGATATCACATGTTGAAAATCAGAGCTATCTTTGTCACATAGCTGGTGAACAATGTTATTTACCAATAATTGCTTTGAGGAGTAAGCCAGAAGGCTAGGACAAGTACTCACAATTTCCTTTAAAATATTTAAATTGCTCTCAATCGTGTTCCAGCTATTACTAAGAAATTCTGTGTCACACTTCCACAGGAAATTGAAGAGACTATTAATGAACTTACGTATACCATTGCTGATGTCAAGGTTATGATTGAAGCTGTGGGCGCTAGCTTATTGAAAGGAATCCAATGGAGAATAGCTGAATTAAAAGCAAAATTATGCAATGACTACTCTACAAAAGTAGAAGAGCTGCAGTTAGCAGCAAAAGAACTTCAATTTCCAAAGCACCTTTATCACCAAATGAAAACACTTTTGGAACAGCATTCAAATTCAGTGCATTTTCTTCGAGAGGACAAAATACTCAGAACCAAGATGGAGAAACTTCTACATGACAGTTCCTTACATCAATGCATAAAAGATTATCATATTTCAATTGAGGAATATTTTAAAGACTTGATCAATGGGATCCATATCAGCAATTATATCTCTTCTAATGCTGATGAAATACTTGCCAGTTCAAATGATCCCCCTGACCCATTCAGGCCAGAATGTCCTGCATTTTCTTTTTCTGGTGGAATTCCGAATATATGTTTCTGCCAAAAAGTACTGGACTTTTTTCAGAAATCAAACAAAGTGACCCAAGATCCAACTCAAAATGTCTCCCACAATGATGCCAACGATGCTGCTAGTAGGCTGGACCTCTCACTGGAAGCAGAATCAATACCCAGGCAAGCCACCGTGTAATTTAATCTTTGCAAACTTGTGTTTTGAACTTACAGCTGAATACCAAGTAATTAAAAACCAAAAGCAAAATGAATGTCCTTGTGACAGATGTTGACTACTATCCAATAAAATATTTAAAAGCACAACGATATGGTACGGCATTTGACACATACTGTGCCAGGCTTTGTTAGTTAATTAACACCTAACAGGCTAGAAAATTATTTGAAAGGGAGGAATAAAGAAAAGGGCACAAGAGAGACCAACACAGGGACAGTCACTATCTGAGTTAAAGAGAAGGTTTCTGCAGGGTTTTATAAAACTGGGTTGGGAAAATGTGTGTATTATTCAGTTCTAGAGTGACAAGCGTGCTCTACAGGTGGAAGACTCTCACAGCAAATTGCATATCAATGAAAACACATCAAGTCAGTTCTTGGCATATAAATTAAATGGATAAAACAGAAAAGGGAAAGGGAAAGGAAATGGAGAACCCTTAGGTACATGTTCTTAATGTCATGAGGGCCATATCATGACCAGATTCAATACAGCTGCAATGAGGTTGTATGTTCCTCTTTTCAATTTGAACACCTAAATTAGAGACAGTGCAAGGACAAGAGCTACATTATTTCCAAGCAAAAACCAACACTGGCTCCTACAATCCCATTTTGCCATCTAACAAGGTCCTTATGGGAGCCATGAAAATTTTAAAATACTGTATTAAAGCACAACATAAAAAAGAAGTTTGATGATGTAAGGAAAATTGGACTGCTATGGTTTAGCAGAACTGATGTATGCAAAATGATTTTATCTAAGATAAACTTTTTTCAATTTATGATGTTTCTGATGAACATTCTGATGTCAATTGCTCTAACAGGATAATATTATACCAAGATATTGTAACCCTTCCTATCACTTCTTTCATCTGCTCTTTATTCCCCATATTTTCTAAGCAATCTTTTATTCTAATAACTTCTCTCTTTCTCAATCCTCAATCCATTCTGTCAAGTTCTATTCTCCAACTCTGTCACTGGATGTAATAGAGAAACTGGTGGAATAAATATTTTTCCATATCTGTTCCAGATTGAAAGCATATTTTTAAAGAAGGGATTTTCTATATTTTTATTATCTTGTATGAAAAGTACATTTACAGAGCTAATCCAGCTGTGTGGCAATGATGAGCCAAATGCTTTTTTATAGTCTACTCATGCCATGTTAAGGTTTGATTTTCACCTTTTTGCATTCTTCAGAATCATTTTATCAATAAGCAGCTGATATTTTGTGTCACTTGAGTTTTAAAAGTTCCCTTTCTGTTCAGTTGGGTATAGGGAGTTTTCAGTTAAGTATTTTTATATATATCTTGCAAGTAGTCCTGTGAGGAGCTTGAACATTGTTGCCACACAGCTGGATTAATACCTGTCTAAACATTTTTGGGATTAGTGAAAATATTCAGTAGTTCCTCAAGAAAAATATGGAAAACTGCCTTAATGGCCCATGGTGATGAAATTGGGGAAGTTAGCATCAAAAGTGGAATATTTCAAGGGCATTCAAGGTCAGCACATGTACCAATACTCATAATGTGTACTGGGCATGATATAATGTCTAGGAGAAGACATCAGGTGTGTGTGCCAGTGATTGGTTGTTCACACTAAGTGCTGCACACTAGAGTGGAATATGGAGCTTTGTATGGAGAGTTGCTGCAGAAAGTGCTGTCTGTTTATTTTACAGATAAGTGTATTGTTTAGTCTGCTGTACATAACTCTGCTGTACATATTTTGTAAATACACTGCTGGAAAGGAATCTCTATGAGTCTTTTTACTGTTGACCTGGAAGACTGCATTGTCTCGGACTCATCTCCACACCCCAAAATTCTTGACAAGGGGTTATGGGCCCAGAGTGTCCCAGCTGTGCCAAATAAGCTGTGTAAATGTCAGTGAGTTTCTGTGGGTGTGAGAGGAGCCAATCCAGAAGTGCCTGAAGTCTTGCCAGAGGTCTAGAGGTCCATAGAAGTGAGCATCCCGTGTGTAAGCCCAGTAGGGGATAGAAATGGACATTAATTAGCCAGAATGCAGGCTGGCAGATCCATGACCAGGGGAGGTTTCCCTGTTGCAAGGTTAAACACCAGTAATTATCTGCACTGGTCATTAAAATGGAGATGCTTCTCCAAAAGGACCATTCCTTTTGGAATGACAAAATATTTCATACATCTCAGTGGTATTGGTCTTTTTACAGCACTTCAGCAGGGATGTTATCCTTCTCAGCTGCCTTACCAGAGGTGAGGGAATCCAAAGGCACTTTTATTTCTGCTAAAGGTGGTTTGCTGTCCAACACTTCCAAGACAGACAGGCACTCAATGTTTTTAATGCCTCTTCAGTTACTACATTCTCTCTGGAATATAGCTCAGAGTAGTGCTGCACCCAGCGTTCCATCTGCTGTGCTCGATCCTGGATGATTATGCCTGTAGAGGTCCTCAAAGGAGCAGATTTCTTCTGTATTGGACCTAAAGCCTGCTTGATACTGTCATACATTCCCTTGATGTTACCTGTGGCCACTGCTATCTGTTTCTGAGAGCAGAGCTGAAGCTGATAATCATTAGAACATCTCCTGACAGTATGTTGGGCTTTGCTATGAGCAACCTAAAGAACCTGCAAGTTGTACTCACTAGGACAGGC